TTATGTCATGTATCACCATTTCCGTCCAGTATTGGAGATGATTTATACTTTGTTCTTTTATGTGTGGCACCTCACTTCTTGCGAGAATTACATATTTTGTTTGTCAAATAACCATTTTATGATCTTTATATACAATACTTACCCGTCAGCTTTCAAATTATTTTATATAAAAAGTCATTGGCAAAAAATGTCAAATACTGTTTATTGAATACCACAATATCAAAATTTGCATTTTGTGGAGGTTTTTGTGTGGAGGTTATTCAAATCTCCCCACATAAATCAAATGATGTAGGTCGAACAATTAACTGTATATATATATATAGTTGATGTTTTTATTTCTCCACCACTACTCATAATTTCAAGCCTTCTTCCATCACACGCATCTGTAACTTCTTCACAGGTATATTAACATCTTTTTCAATTTCATAATTTTGTTTCAAATTTAAGGAAATAGGGTTCTCTAAATCCTAATTTCTAAATTAGAGTAATCCAAAACAAATAAAACTTCAACTATTTAATTTTTTATTCTGAGTGAGTAAGAAAAGGAGCGATGATGGACATTTTTGGATAAGATTTCAGATTTTGAAATCATCATAAACCACGACTCACATTCTTGACATTCTGATGATAATAATGAGAAGAAAAATAACTCTTCTCCTTCTTCCATTAAATTCTGATAATGGAAGGAAAAATTTAGTTCACCACGTCCTTGGTGGGGGAAACATATGTGATTCCACTTTTTAATTTTTAATATTTTTGTTCAATGTTTGTTATAATTTAATGATATGCATTTTGATTAAAGTTAAGAGTATTTTCATATACAACTTACATACCGGTAGTAAATAGTAAATAAATATGTAGCAGATTCATTTATATAGGAGTGGCCTTACACTTGCACACAAAATATTAGTTTACCAAATTTGGTGCCAAATTCACAACCTTTTCCTTAATATCTACCCCCTTGTCTCAAAATCATTTGCAACCATTTAACATTTGATCACACAAATTTGATTTGTCTTTACGGAACTCCATTACTTCCATATAGCGATTGCAATTTATATTTTAAAAAACTTTTGTTTTTCATATATGATTAGTTTTTAAATATTTTTTAATAATTTTAATTTTTTATGAAAAAGTAAATCATCGTTAACAACGAGTCATACAAATAAACATAGCACTACTCGTCTCTCACAAAGCGTTCAACGAGATTTGAAGGTATAATAATTCTTTATTTATATAAATTATTTTTTTATAAAAATTATCATTTTTCATATTTCATATCATTTTATCACAGATCTTAAATTGCTTTACTTCAAAAAAACTCAAACCAATTTATTGGGCTACTTTCTCTCTCTAGATTTTCCAACAAAAAAATGGACCTAGCAAAATATTGGTGGGTTTATTAAACTCCTTAAAAGCCAAATTCAACATTACCAACCTTATTTAAAACTTTTGAATTCTACCTTTGTATATATTAAAATTAGCAAAATATTCGTACATTTGCACAGGTCGGTATTTTATGTTGTAGGATTAAGAACACACAACACACATTACATGTGTTCATATGGTTAAGAATACACAAGTTACTCAACACACTTTTGTAATTATTAAAGCACACATATTACATGTGCATTCGTAAACACATTTTACTCATACACTTTTGTAATTTTTTGATTGCTTTTCATACTCAATATTAGTCTATATATTTGGTTAACTAATAAATACAATAAAAACTTGTATTGTTCATTCTTAATATAGACATGTACATATAGAAAACTTATATATTTGTTAATATAACTTGTTGATATTTTCTTTTATTTCTACAATATTATTTCTTATTAGTTGTTATTATAATTACTTAGATTTTTTCAAAATAAATATGGGTTTAATCATTTAGTATGACAAAATAAGTACCAACCCGGTGAATGAAACCTCCCATTGTAAGTATGGGAGAGATGAAGATGTAGGAGATATGAAGAGGTAGAAAAAATGAGTAAATAATACGACAATGAGTAAATGATTATTTTTAACAATTAAAATTAAAATTCAGAAAGAATTATTAATCATGATTGCCCTTTGAATGCTATTTATTCCATTCTTTAAAATTAAATAGTTGTTTCTCACAATTAATTTTGGGATTTGATTGATGATTGTATTTTGTGTTGAATTTTTCTTTAATGTTTATTAGACAAAATTGTCCTTGAATGCCTTATATTTTTTATTTTTTTAAGAGTTAATTACACTGACCCCCCTGAGTTTTAGTGAAATTACACAAACTACCCCTCACTTTTTTGTCCTTACACGAACCACCCCTGATTTTGTACATATATTACACTGACTACCCCTGATGAGATATAAGTGTAATATTTTAAACAAAAATCATGTGAAGTGTGTAATTAAGTTGAATAAAATATTGTATATTGTGTAGACAAATCCAAATAATATAAGAGTCAATGCATCTTCCTTATTTGATTCATTACAAAATAATATAAGGATTATATAAACATCTGATTAAAATTGTTAATATATCGTGTAATGGAACATAAATAATAAAAAGACAGTCAATTTTGTACTCTTTGAAATTGTATACACAATATATAATATTTTGTATAACTTAATTACATTCACCACACGTTTTTTGTTTAAAATATTACACTTATATCTCATCAGGGGTGGTGAGTGTAATATATGTATAAAATTAGGGGTGGTTTGTGTAAGAGGGAGGGGTGGTTCATGTAAGGACAAAAAAGGGAGAGGTGATTTGTGTAATTTCATTAAAACTCAGGGGGTGTCAGTGTAATTAACTCTTTTTTAAATTAAACAGTTGTTCCCCACAATTAATTTTGGGATTTGAATGATGATTGTATTTTGGGATTAAATTTATCTTTAATCTCTATTAGGCATGATTGCTCTTGAATGTCTTTTATTTCGTTTCTTTAAAAATTAAAAATTTGTCCACACAATTAATTTTGGGATTGATCATATTTCCAATTTTAATTAAAAATGTATTTTTCAATTTCAACATTTTTTAGTCTGCTTCTACTAATTTTTTCAAATCACAAAAACAAAAGGAAGTGGTTGACTAAGGAGTAACATATTTTAGAATTGATTTTATTGTCATAAATGAATAAAATTAGCAGCATATCCCTATTAATATTTTTTTTGCAACTATGTTATTCTTCTACACATACTTAATGGTTTAAGAAGAATAAATTGACACTCATCAAATAAAATAAATATGGGTTTAATCATTTAGTATGATTACTTTGAAAATAATATTTTAATAGATAAAAATAAAATTTTAGTAATAAATCACCATTGAAATAGGAAAGTTGTAATTATATAGTTCAATTCTTTTTCAAAATAATGGAAGCCTTAATTATTTAGGATCAAAACTGCTAAAATATTTTAAAGATATTAAAAGAAATGTATGAATAATATTAATAAATGGAAATGAGAACATTATAAATAATTTTTTATTTTTTTTTAAATTAAGGGAGACGTACTAATTTACATGTAGCGATTACTATATATTATTTTTCAGCTTAAATAACATCATCGACCTTACCAATAAGCACCACATTAAATGACAATATATGTTTCTATTCCCTTATATCACTTTTATTTCTTTTATAATGGTCGGCGATATTTATTCAAATTAATTATTAATTAGTAATTAGTAATTATTAGTTTGTAAATTATAACTATATTACAAAATTTATTGTAATTATTCACATATGCAGTTTTTATTCTCTTATGAATTTTCTTTTATTGTCATTCTAATGAAGACAAAAACACGTCAATAAAATATCATAAGTTGTGAATATGGTTATCACGTCAATAGTGAGAATATGATTATGAATATTAATATGTGAAAAATAAATTTGACATTAACAGTTGTAACAACGTAAAAGTAAATCAAAGTTGTGATTTTTATAAGATCTTAGTCAGATCTACACTTATAGAAGTGATTTTTACAAAAAAATCACGACAATGAATTTCCATTAGAGGCCATAGTTAGTAAAAAAATATATTAAGGAAAAATGATGAATACAAAGAAAAATATTAAAAAAATGATGAATACAAATAAAAATATAAAGGAAAAATGATGAATATGTTTACTTTGAATAAGATGATAAGTCAGATCCACATTTAATACATGAAGTTCAAATGGAGTCCATAGTTAGTAAATAAAAATATAAAAAAAATGATGAATGAAAAGAAAAATATAAAGGAAAAATGATGAATATGTTTACCGTGATGAAGATGATAAGTCAGATCTACACTTAATACATGAAGTTCAAATGAAGATAATTGTGAGTAAAGAAAAATATAAAAAAAATGATGAATACAAAAAAAATATCTTTATATATTAAAACATCTTACAAATCATTATACTTATGGATAAGAAAAAAAATTTGTTCCATGATACCCATTAAAATATTCACAACGAATACCTACAAAAACTTATGGGTGAGAAGAATATTATGATATGAGATATGCGGGTAGAAGTGTATTTATAAATTAATTTTTAATTAATATTATATATTTTTTATTATATCTATGTTATTATTGTTTTATAATGAATTTTAGTAAATAAAATATAATGATATAATTAATATGTACATAAATTTTATTATTCATGTAATAACTATTTTTTATATCTATACTTCTATACTAGTCTATACTAATAGATAAAGGGAAAACCTAAAATAACTTCACATGACATAATTTTTATTTACCCATTTTACCCTTTACAATTTATAATTTCATGTATTTATAAATTTAAACTTTTCTACGATTCTCACTTTCCAATGTTTTTAACAGGTGCAGTTTTTTCATTCCATTTTCTAATAACCTCTCTCTCATTCTCACCTTCAATTGTTTCTTAACTATTGTAGTTTTCCTAAACATGTATCAGGGAAATATGGCAGGTTATGAAAATATAAAGCAATTTATATCTCACTGCTACTGTAATTTATTAGTACATCCACTTTTCGCTTTCTATTCTTATTATAAATCATCTTCTTCTAACCGTCTTTTTCTCTCTCCATTTTTATTATGCATCCTCCTCTCCCAATCTTAAGGTATTTGTCTTCTTCAGAGTTAACCTTCAGGTATTTCTCAGATATTATTTTATTAACCCTTCCATTTCTATGTTTCCTTTTTTGACTTTCTAAAATCTGGAATATAAAAGGCCCGATGAATCAATTTATGTGTCAAACTTTTTAACTATGCAATAATACATTGGGTTGCTTTGAGTTCATCATCCTGGTAAATCATACTTTTTCATGTTAAATTATTAAACATAGTATGAATTCGTGAAAGTGAAACTATTCCCCTAGAAATATATAGAAGAACAAAATATTAACCTATACCCTTATGGTGGATTTTATTCTATATACACATGTCAAGTACACTTATATTTTAATATATTATGAAAGCCATTTAACAATCAAGGCTAATGAAATGGGAAGATATTTCGTTGTTCAAGCCCTTTGAAATCAAGAAATTTAATATATAAAAATTTGAGGATCTTCAAACTCAAATTTACCTAAATGATAATATTATTAATATATGTGTTTGTTTTTTATTGCATTGGGCCTGCAATGTTTTGGTGCCTCTGGGTAGTAAGGTCTTTGTTATTTATATTATTTAATTGTAAACAGTTTTAAAATTGAAAATTGCAGTTTTCTTAATATTGACCATAAGCATAGCAGGAGAAGACATACTTGATGAAGTTGAACAGTTTAGCAAGCAAGTTTTGAAGGAAAGGTTACAGAACACAATTAGAGTGTAAGACTCTATTTTTGATAAACACATTAATTAAGATTAAACAATTACCTCAACCGAATATATTCAACTAACCGAATATATTCAACTGTAAATATATTCGATTAAGAATGAACAATTTACTACATTAGATATTTATTACATAAAAACTATATATTACAAACGATATGAAAACGGGTTGACAGACACGTTAATATTAATTATTACAAAACATATAAATATATATTTAAACTTAAAAAATCGTTGGGTACCCGCACGAGTACCCACAAATATTATGGGAATGGATATGGAAAAGCACTATCCTCCCCATCGCCAAAGTGACATATGACACTGATAAATAAATCATTAATAATCAAAATATAAATTTGTGACATTTGTTAGTTTTTTTGTGGATAAAAAGATTTGTATGATGATTTGATAGAAATGTATATCATTTTCCATTTTTTATTTGTTAAATATTTCCCTAAAATTATTGAAAATCAATAGACAAACTATAAAAATGATTGAATTTTTTATTTTAAGAAAACATTTTTTTTCTCATTATAGCCTCATCAATTATTCCCACCACTTTATTTTATAATTATTTTATCTTTTCATATTAATGAAAGTGGGTTACAATCTATTGAGCAAAATGAAAATTTATCAATCATAACGTACATAAGATAAATGACAATCCATTATAATAAATCTGGGTATTTAACAAAATATTAATATATTATCGCAGTACATGGCAGAAATCAATCAATTGAAATTACTTTCAAATAAATTCACTTACATGTAAATTTCTTTATTGATCATCTTGCCCCTCTAATATCAACTCACTCATTTTTGCTGTTTATTTTTCTTTTTATCCTCCATTCTTTACCATCACACCATGAATCATGTGAAAATGGTTGAAATTTTGCATGAGTTAATCAATTATATTTTTTCATACTTCTTATTTCATCAATAAAATCTTCTATGATTCATACCAAACTTTAACATTGTATTATCATATACATAGTCCACTTTAACTAACTCAACAATTAATTAGTTAATCGATTAACACGTATAAAATTATAACTATACAAACTAAAAACAACTAACTGTTAATCGATTATCTATACTCTTATGGACCCTCACATATTTCAAAAATATTATATCATTCATCCACACGTATCTCTTACAGGCGATACCTACAAAGGTGGTGGGGTAGAAATATATTCCATTTCCAAAATATAGTAGCCCCTTCAACCATTGTCAACAACTTCACACATCAAAATTAAGTTGTCATTTCAACAAAAAATAAAAGAATTTCGATTATTAGTAATCTACATTAAATTCCAGTTCGATCTTATTGTTGTTATTATTATTATTAGAGTTTTGACGTGCACCATTTTACATTATAAAATAACAATTTAATAAGTACATTGACTCAAAGAGTAAGTTTTTTAAACTTACTTCACATCTTAGTCATCAATTCTAGTGAAATCTAATGGTTTGAATTAGTGGGTATATCTAAACCATTAGAATTCCTTAGAATTGATGACTAAGATTTGGAGTAGTTTTTTAAACTTACTCTAGGAGTAAGTAGATCATTACCCTTAATAAATAAATGTTATATAGATTAAAACTTAACGTAATAAAAAATAAAATTCATCTTCAGTGATAAAGATTTAAAATTATAAAATAAATAAAATGTATCATAGTTTTAGAATTAGTGGTAGGAGAATAAACTATTTCCTCATATATATATATATATAAGAAGATAAATTATCTATTTTAGACACTAAAATGAAGATATGTGTCTTATTTTAGTAGTCTAATCAGATAAGTTATTTCCTCATACGAATAAGGCAAATATCATAATTTTAATGGTCTAATGAGATAATTTATTTTCTCATACAAATACATTATTTTCTTAGCTGAATATTATTTGTAATAACTAATTGTACATGTTTATTACGTAATTTTATTTTTATAGTAAGCACATTATAATCTCTTATTTTTATTCGGTTATTGAGTTGAAAATATAAATTAGTAATAAATTCAAATACCATAAAAAGAAATAACATTAACAAACTGTTGACACACGCATATGCACATGCATGGGACGCAAGTTACCCATGCATATGCACAGGATGATATTTTTTGCTACATGATCAATAACGCACATATTACTCATACATTCACATGGTAAAAATACATATGTTACTTATACATTCACATGGTTAAAAATACATATGTTACATGTAAATTCACATGGTTAAAAATACATATGTTACATGTGCATTCGTATTGTTAAGAACAAACATGTGACCATTATATTTTAGTAGTTAAAAACACATATGTTACTCGTAAATGAGATGAATGGAGTAGAGAGTAAATGACTAAAGTATCGCAACAATATTAAATGTATACATAATGAAATATATCGTACAATTTACATTACAATAATATTAAAAAAGTCATTATGTAATGACAAAGTTGCCATTGAAAAATCCAAGTGTCAAACATAAGATATTCCTCTTAGTAATTACTATTTCCTATATGATATTATGTTAGCTTATGAATTTTGGACGGGAAAAAATAAATGTGTTTATGACACATGTGAAAATGAATATTGATGAAACTTTTTTTCTTATATATAGTATATATATTAAATTAAATGTTATTATTTAGCTTAATGAAAAATGAGTTTGAGTGTATTTTTATCATGTGTGAAGATTGTACAAAGTGAGGTGTCTTTATCCTATGTGGGAGTTAGTGAGAGTTAAATTGATTAAAAGTTTGAAATTGTGTTGGGGAAAAGATGACTATATGACTTCCAGAGAACACATACCCATTTTCATAAAAATAAATCGTAGTCTTGTTTCAACTCAGGAAACTATATGACTTCCAGAGAATATAGTGCAAAGTGGAAGAAATTCGTTACATAACTTCGAGAGAATACCAACAAATACCTTCACCAAAGTAATGAAAATCACGAATAAAATCCCTCATGCATGCCAAGGGTTCTGCTCGAATGTTTACACGAACAAAAGCTAATCTCCTTATATTCAAAGAACAATTTCCGTTTAGCAACAACGATCAAAAAGAGAAAAACAAAGCAAAACAAAATGTATCAATTAAATTCTCAGATAATCACATCAAATCATTCAACCAAAGTACATAACAACACAACCGATCGCAAACTAAACATCAATAGTACAAAAATAGAAATAAAAAAGTGTGCTGAAATATATAAAAACATAGTAGATATTGAAGGACCAAAATATGGAGTAAATCCGTCAACAATAGAAGAGAAAAGAAAAGAGAGGGATAAGATGAGTAAGATATGAGAAATAAATTTAAATTATTTATCAAAAAAACTTATAAGTGTGAAAAATGATTTGATGCATAAAGAAGAAATAAAAATGATAACTGAAAAACCCTAACAGACAGAAATGCTTTAATGGGGAAATGCAAATGAAGATAAAGAGAGAAGATGAATAAAATGTGAGAGACGAATGTGAGAAATAGATCTTGAAAGTTGGATTTGGTAACAGTGGGTTTGAGAAATGGATTTGAAAAGATGGAAATGGTAAGTTTGAGAGATAGGAAATGTAATCTATTACTATATAAGAAAAAGATGTTTCAAGGCACTATTCCCTGTCCACTTGTCAGCTCCTCATGCATTTTTTTCCTGCCTAAACACACATCCACATCCTAACCGTTGATCTCTGTTCATCCATGTGTATTTCATCCACAATTCTCCATCCTTTTCATTATCCTCAAATCCACCAAACTCTTCATTTACCCTAATTTCATTTCATCTGACTTTTCTCACCCCCGATACTTCGAACTCTTCATTTTCCTTTATCTCACCAAAATCTTCATCATCCCTAATTTCTCCAACACTTCATTATCTCATAATCTCAAAATACAAACTTGGGTTTATTGTCGAAAGAAGATTTTTCTTTATTCTTCTTCATCTTTCCTCTCTATATCATATTTTCTCTTTCCCTATTTTGTTCAAATATTTACATCATCATTTTTCCTTTATATTTTTCTTCGTATTCATCAATTTTTTTTATATTTTTATTTACTCACTATGATCTTCATTTTAAATTCATGTGTTAAGTGTAGATCTGACTTATCATTTTCTTCACGTTAAACATATTCATCATTTTTCCTTTATAATTTTCTTCCTATTCATCATTTTTTATAAATTTTTCTTTACTAACTATGGACTCCATTTGAACTTCATGTATTAAATGTGGATCTGACTTATCATCTTATTCAAAGTAAACATATTCATCATTTTTCCTTTATATTTTTCTTTGTATTCATCATTTTTTTTATATTTTTCTTTACTAACTATGATTTACATTTGAACTTCAAGTATTAAGTGTATATATGACTTATCATCTTCTTCAATGTAAACATATTCATCATTTTTCCTTTATATTTTTCTTTGTATTCATCATTTTTCCTTTATATTTTTCTTTACTAACTATGGCCTCTAATGAAATTTCATTGTCGTGATTTTTTTTGTAAAAATCACTTCTTTAAGTGTAGATCTGACTAAGTTCTTATAAAAATCACAATTTTTATTTACTTTTACATTGTCATTGTAACGCCCCGAAAATTACTCCAATAATCTTTCTTGAAAATGGGTAAAAAATTTTTTTTGAATAATGGAACCATATAAAATTTATGTCCTTATATTCGTTTCATTTTCGGAACATCACTTAAGTAACATACAATGCGGAAAATGACAACCATTACTTAATGGTAACTAGAAAAACTCAATATAACTTTGAATCATACTTCATTAGAAAATTTTGGTACAAGTACAAGGCGGAATCCTAATCGTCGCCCAAATAAAAACTACTACAAAATTAATTCTCTACACAGGTACACTAATCAAAAAGTACAAGGGCCTGTGTAGGTATAACAGATTCCCTCAATCCTCCATGCCCCCTCCTGGGACATCGAAAAGTGGTAACTCTGAATCCCGATCGAACGATCCATCTGAACAAAACGCGGATAGAAGACAAATAGAAAGAAGAGAGGGAGTAAAACATCTAATGAAAAACTTATCATTGACGTCGTGGAATTACACAGAATAATACACCAAGACAACACATGAGTACATATATATCATGTGATTATACAAGCATATAAAAACAAT